TATATATTATGTATGGGCTCCGCTTTGGAAAGTACTAAAGAGAAACTTTGGAGACCTCCAAAGGCGACTCTATGCATTTTCTTTAGAAATGCCGTACAAACGCTAAAGATAGACTTTGGAGGACGCTAAAGGCTGTCGAGCACCTCGGGCTTGCCTTATGTGGCAACCCCGAATCTCTTTAGCACCCTCTAAAGGTAATTCAGAGAATAATCAATGGAACTCACTATAGAGCTCGCTAAAGCTTTGCTTTAGAGAGCGCTAAATTGGCATCCATATATAATATTTTGACCAATGTTTAGATTCCACTTTAGCTGGCTCTAAATAGTGGTTTCCCCGTCGTGTAGGTTCTGTGGTGTGTTGTTGGTGTCTCTGTTTCGATGTGCTGTTTTGCTATCGTACCACCATGATTACTCCTTGGAGGGCTTCTGGCCCTTCTGATTCTGATGTCCCCCGTCGCGTTCTCTGTTGAGCATTGGCGTGCCTTGGCGTTCTAACTCTGCTCAACGTTCGCAATCATTCCTGTTCACCGCCCTCTTGCCATATATTGCCTCATGTATTTCTGGATTTGAGTTACATGTCTCCGGTCCCACCGGGAGAATGCGCGCCACTCCAAGGCTCCAACATTTTGCCCACACTTTCCCGCCTCCTCTCGCTTGCCTGAACCACAGTAAATATTCTCTACTTCACATATCTGTAGCAACATGGCTTCCATGAGGCGAAGTGGCATGGTTCTCAGCAGTATGTAGTGAGAGAACGATAAGAATCTTGATATGTAGCAAACGTGCACAAGAATGGGGGTATCGGCGATTGAAGCGGTGGCGCCAGCATGCGATCCAGTGCGCTACACTCTGATAATATTCTTCATGTCACTCTATCCCTGCCACCATCACAACCGCCTTGTTTCCCTCAACTGTTCTTCGTTCTTCTCTCTTCCAATACCATCACTACCGCGAGCTTGCTGTCTCTAGTCAATTGTTAGCTCTTTGCTGAGTAGTCAGCTTACTACTGTGGTTAACGACCAACTTCGACAACAATCATGAGCTGGGTTGTGCTATGGCTGTCTCTGTGTTTCTTTGCGTTACCAGTCACGGCGGGTCCAAAGCTTTCTGGACAAGATCAGACAGCTTTTACTAGTGATTCATCGCCTAGTGAGAACAACAGAGGGAAGGAGAACGGGACGGATGTGAGTACGGGATGGGTCGACCCCAGGATCAATGGAGGTCGCTTTCTGGATGTGCGTCTTCCCCGAGCGTTGTTTTCATTGTGCCGTATGGCTGAACTATGTTCGTGGAATACGACGTACCTAGTTCACTCTACCTCATCTCGGTGAGCCATTGAACGTCATCATCTCTGGGCTCTCGGATCCATGGATCCTCACCGAGGACGGATTCCATAACTACGCAAAGTACGTTCCATACAAAGTTTCTTTTTGGGCTCTTACATCGAACCCTAAACTCTCCCCCGTTATTGTTTCTCCTTCCTCCGATGTATACGAACAGGTCTATAGGCTACTCCGAAGAATGTCTAGGCTTGCATTACGGGAACATCCACGAAGCGGACCTGGGCGATGGGGACGGTCGGAAGGATGAGCTATACCTCGCGCGACAGTACTACTTTCCGATATGGGGGACGTGTTGGGAGAGCTTTGCGGGTGGACATCATTTCAGGGCGTGGAGGCAGAATGGGAGCGCGGCAAATTCAGGGGCGTGGTTCATTGGGTGAGTTATCACATCTTGATTTTTCATTTATCCACGAATAGAGGGTCTGGCCCAATATCTTCTATTTGCTCGATATTGTTACACTTTGATACAGGTATTTCGACGTTCGTGGAATGCTGATGGTCATTTTCTGGGTGGCATGCGGCAAACTTACAGGGCCTCGAAGGAAGAGCACTCGCAGAAGAACCACATGATCGTAGAGGACGGGTACAATCTTGGACGCGATTGGCTCGTCGAGAGGGCGGAGGCGGGCAGTCATTTCAAGGGTATCTGGTGGAAGGCGGATGTCGAGTGGCGGGAGGGTTTACTAGACCCTGGCCATGAAGGTTCGTACTTGTCACGCCACACTTGAGTCAAGTTGGACTGACCATCATCTGTCGGATTAATAGGCGTGAACCATGGTATAGACGTCGACGGTCGTGTCGCCATATTGACTGTTAACCGTGTTTGAAGCCTTTCCGCTCTGATCACCGGCGCGCTGCCTTGTACCTGCTGTATACCCTACACCATGCCCAGTCTCTCGTCTAACGCCCTTGTAGACTCACCTCACGACTTTCATCTACCTCCTCGCCCTTAGACTCTGGAACTCTCGTCTGTATATATATGTATGTCCTGTACTTACCTTATTTTCTCATGATTTGCTCGCTCGTTGTAGTTTATTAGTAGTGGCTGCCATTTGTGCCTCTGCGCGCTTACATAGGCGGCATTATGTTTATATCACGACTGGGTCGGATTCTTTCTTGGTCTCGGTGGTGGACGAGACTTGTGATTTTTATTGCAATAAACGGTTGGGTGTTACTTCGGAACTTCGTTGGGCCAGAGACTTGTGAGCCTGCAAGTACGCCACATGGGTGCGAACTCTACACGGTGAAGTCGAAAGATACTACATAGGAAGCTCAGGCACCAGGAGTCGGACGCAACGATTCATAACTCTCAACGCCGGTGCTTCGTATCACAGACATCCATGTCCAATTCCTCATACCACCTAACCTTCGAGTCCACCATCTTCGAAATGTTCTGGGTCCTCCACCAGACCATGATCAGATCCAAGTCGCTTACTATGAAGGTTCCAGTAAATTTGAGATGGTGTAAATGATTACGCATAGTTGGATAAAGAAACACGATTTAATCATAAGAGATGTAGATGATACTTGCAAACTTGACCAAAAACTTCATGGGCCACCGAATACTTACACCAAACACGCCACCATGGCGGAGCCTGAGAGTATTCAAGGTCCGATCCGGCCCATTCACTCGCATCCATTGACAGCGACGACGACCGAATAACACCCTTCATCACCGTCTCTCACAATGTCGCACCGGTCGACGCCAACTTCAAGCGTGGAGGCCAACGGCTACGCGTCTCCGTCTGCCTACTCTCACTCACACTCATACTCCCACTCACACTCATCGACACCCGTGCCCGGGACACCCACGACTCCGATTGCAGGAGGAAGTGGTGCAAAGCCAAGTGGTGGTAGTGGACAACAGGCTGCAAAGCCGAAGCCGACGAATGTGTTTTCTAACGATGGTTCTTTTTTGGAGAGGTTTCAGCGTATACAGAAGGTGTGTCCTTTCTCCAGCAAGTTGACGGAGACGATGCTCATTGACTCGCGCGATGCGTTTTGTTCGTGACGTAGGATGAAGAAGAGAAGAAGAAGCAGGATGAGACGTTGGCGAAGTGCGTTCATACTCTCCGTTTTGTTGTTGTGTCTGTGTGCGTGTCTGCGCGGAATGCTGACGGTGTGCGCATAATGGTGTGGCGTATTACGTCTTCTAGGAAACGCAACTTTGACGATCGATTTGTGAGTTCTTCATAACCGTACATCTCATTACTACCGAACCTTACTTACACCTCTTGCACTGTGTTCTCAGAAAAAGAGGGGCAAGCGTCCACCTCCCGATTCTTCCGACTCATCGAAAGCTCCAGCCGATCCTCCAGCGAAGAAAGCTAAGACCGAAACGCCCATGAGTACGTTCTTTCCGTCTCCAGTCGTCTCCCACTTATCAACTTACCGGTCATGCAGGTCAATACGAGAAGGAAGTCAAGAGCTACGCCGGACGAAGTCTCAAGGACGACGGCATCGGTGTACGTCCCCTCGTGAAATAAATAAATAAGCACACCGCGAAATCGTTCTTTCGTTCGTTTATTGATCCAAATATTGTCGTGTCTCGAGCATTCTGGTGAGTCTCCTCGCTATTCACATCTCGTTCGACGGCCAGGGTGGCGCCTTCCCTGATATTTCGTGAGCTAACGGGCTTAGATCGTCTTAAAACGCATCCATTGCAGCTTTTCTTGGACAATTGCAGCTTTATTGAACTTCATATTTCTTGTCGGTGCCAACACCGCTGCTAGGGTTGGTGCATGTATGATCCGGGACTACTTACTGCTTACCGCAGAGAATCGCAATGCAATGCAAGACAATCGTGTGTCGTATTTCACTTTTGGTCGTGGCGTCCGAATTTTTCTAGCGAGGGTCATGAACGATCATAGTCGAGTTATGAAAGAGCCGCTAGTATCGTTCAACAGCCAATCCTTGGTTCTGCCTGTATCGCAGTATATATCTACTGTGCTACCAACCTTCGAATCTGTCGAACGATGCGGTTCACCGACTACGATGACTCATTCTGTTTTGGCCGCAACACTCTTTAGCGGAGCCGACGAGAGGGTGGCGCGATATCGGACTTGAGCACCCTCGGCCGCCGTCAATCGTACCGCATATTCTGATGTGACAAGGGATATGTATTTGTTCCTCACTGATCCGACATCAATGACTTCCCAAGGGACCCGACCGCATTGAGTCCATAGACGAATAACTTACGAAGAGACAAGTCCAGCCGATTTGGTTGAGCATGGGTGATCTTCAGTTTTAATTGTTACTTCTATATCTTCGCTGACGTTCGGCTAAACCTCTGGTCTGTACCTAGGCAGAACGGTGAAAACCATAGCTTGGGAGAGCAATAGTTGTATGAAGGATGGAGGAGGGCGTTAATGCGACGGTTCAGTGGAAGGATACCAGGAATGGGATGCCGGAGAAGTCTCGCGTGAGCGGGACGTGTCCGCACCATCGAGAACGGGTCAGGCTTCCATTGTTAGAGCTCTTGTTCCACCAGACATATATCCTGAACTGACCATACGCCGTCCTGCAGTCATCTACCGTCGGACTCCTCTGTTCTGCTTCTCCTTTTTGTGTCTCTTGCTGCGAGCCACCATCATATCGCCCTAACTTCACTCGTGATACTTTGGAATGGCGATTTCGGTACTGACCAATCGGGCAACAGTATCCAGCACCCTCACTATTAGTTTTGCACACACACCGACATGTTTGCACGGCGAAAAGCTCTATAACTTTGCTTTCGATGTGACCAACGTCATCGGATCGGACGACTATAATTTAGGATAAAAAGACAGCCTTCATAAGTACGTAGTTGTTCTCCAACTCTTGGCAGATGCAACCGGCTAATCTCTTCGTCGTTCGTTTCTTTCCATTCGACTACCAAATCATCGCCTACAGCGAGCGAGGATATGCTTCATTGTTGTTGGGACACATCCCCTCCCATTTCAAGGTCATAACCTGTGCCATAATGGCAGAACATGAGATTGATTGGCTTGAAGGGAGATCTGAGCACATACTCACATTGGAGACATGACTTCTTAGAGTCGTTACCATGTAGTGGATACCACCATGGGCAATACCGTCTCAGACCGCAAAATATTCCCAGGCATAGAACGAGCTCGGGGCCGGGTAGGTCTAAAAGCGAGTAGCTCGCTTGCTATGCTTGCTGTCGAAGACGAGGGTGCGGCTCCAGCATATGCCGATGACGGAGATGGCTGAACCACTGAAATGTCCACAGGAGTTGTACGAGCGGAATGTGATATCCCCGTTACCATATAGGCCCCTGGATGTGGTGACCTCGTCCGTGACCTTACTGTAATTGAATTGGATGATCTTGCAGAATGACTATAGACGGGATCTCCAGATGGTCCGTAGGGAGATTCTCCATTCTGTGGCGTAGACGACGTTGTCGGTGGCGGCCTTGAATCGTAAGCGTACTCTGCCGCACGAGATGGGCTTACCAGTGCATACGTTCTTGGTCTACCGACGTTGGTCCCCGGGTAAGTCCTCCAATTTGGCTTTGGTGGAGCCGCACCTGGGGACGGAGGCGAGGCTGGCCCGGGGCGACCCGACGTGACCGCGAGATAGTTTGCAGGGCCCTCAACATGATATGGCAGTGAATTCTCCGCCGACGCTACTGCGTGGTCGTTGAGAACTGAATCGGCCCACTGATGCCGCGAATCAGGCAAAGGCGGGATGAAGAGGGGTGACGAAGATCTGGGCAATTCGCTGGCTGGCGAAACGGAATAACTCTGTGGCTGGGATGATGGGCTTGCAGGTCCCGGCGATGGCGAATGCGCTTGTAGTACACCAGACGTTGCCGTCGACATCGACGTTGGGGTCGGTAAAACTGTAGCCTCATGTGGCGGGAACGATGTGGGTGGACTGGATGGCAGTTCTGGTTCGTCATACGGAGCCGGATGGAAGAAATTCTCGTGCACCTCGGGAGGAGTATATATGCTATAGCCCTGTGGATACGTAGGTGTGGAAAAGAGGGAATATTCATCTGGTGAGTCGTCCGGGGGGAAATAGGACGGAGAGAAGTGGTACGCAGAGGAGTGGTACGGTTGTAGTGGGACTTGAGCTCTCGATGGTCGTGAATAGGGCGACCGGTATAATGAAAGGTCACCCGGATACGGTCGACCGGAATACACCATCGATAGTCTTACGGGGGTCTGATTCGGAGCAGCATGCATTGGATCAGACAAAGACGATGAGACCCATGGTGGTAAAGGCAGATTCATAGGTTCGTTAGGATCGCGCATGGGCTGTGGGGTTGCAACAACTTGGGCGGAATGGGGACTCTGGTTCATGGTCGACACAGGTAAGGCGTTGGAACGTCTGGGAGGGGATGGAATATAGGCTGCCGAGGTTGACGGCGATGAGAAGGAAGTGGGTACATGGACTGCAGGGTCGCTGTTCTGCGCTGGACGTCTCTCAAAGGGATAGGGACCCTGTTTCGTACTCAATGCAGGCAAGGCGTCGGAACGTCTGGGAGGGGATGAAACATATTCCGCCGACGAGGCCGACGGCGGTGGGATGGGAGTAGATACTTGAGCAGTATGGTCGCTGCTCTGCGCTGGGCGTCTTTCCCATGGCATTGGTAAGAAACCAGAAAATGGTGTACGGTTCGGCCGCGGTGGTATGAAAGGGGGTGAGGATGCTCTGGATGGGCCCGCGGTTGTTTCCGTAGGGAGGATATTGCTTTGGTTTGACGCAGGAGGGGAAATCTGGTATACGTTTATCACTGAAGGTCTTGTGAGCCTGGAAGCGAGTGGTGGGGGCATAGCCGGAGGAGGAGAAGCGCCTTGCGACAGCGACAATGAGCTAGGCCTTGTGCTGTTGACAGAGAACCTCGTATGATTTGCATGCCGAGGTGTACTGTTTCCTGGAACTGCGCGCGAAATATCTTTAGGGTAGAATCGACGAAAGGACGAAGGGAAAACAACTGTACATACCTTCGTCTTCAGGTGCCAATGTTTGGAAAGCCACCAAGATCTTAGCTTTGACTCTGTCCCGATGCCAACGAGCGGAGCTCCCAGCACCAAGCTCAGCGCTTCGAACCTGCAGGCTAGACGCCAGTGGGCGCCATAGCTCGGTGGTAAGCCGTGCATTTCCCGGAAGTTCTCGGCGAATAAGGAGAACGAAATGGATTATCGTGGTTGAAAAGCGACACAGAGAGGAACACTTTTTGCCATCATGGTTGTATTCGACGTTGTGTAAACGATGGCTCCAAGCATTGTGATCGGAATCCAGCCGTTGCAAGAAATACACGATTCTGATTATCAACGTGGTGATTGGCTCAAGCTGGCTCTGATCTCGAATCCCCACGATGCCCTTCACTGTTAAACTTGAACGTAGCTGTATGAGCACGAACTCCAACCAGTCCAGTTTTTCGGTAGCAGAGGCTCCGGAAGTGTCCTTCTCGAGCTCGGTGGACAGTGCGTCCAACACGAGGTCTACACCTCGAATGATGTCCGCAACGGAAGTACCGCCTTTCATGACAGACCATGAAATAACCCATTGTACGAATGACTGCAGCACGCGACGCTCATGCGTCAATAATCCTGGACTGACACCGAGCGTCATTACCAATGAGATTCGTTTGAGACTTCCCGCCTTGATTTTGTTCGGATCGCTATTTAACGAATGAGCGAGTGCCTTGTAAACAAGTGAAAGGGTCTCCGATGATTGTGCATCAATAAGCCGCATCATAGCTGACTTCAGGTCTTTGGTCTCCTCCCAATACTGTTGAAGATGTGAATGCAGAACTCGAGCGAGGAACGGAACAACGGTTTCGCCTAGAGGGGAATGAGACGTCGTTTTATCCAGATCGGTAAGGTCTGCGAGTAGTAGTCCTATTATCGGCACCTCTTGGGCGATCACAGAGTCATGGTACCGCTCGGGGGCATCGCTCAACGGATCGGAGCAGACGAGCTTGTGCATTGCACTAGCGAACGGACAATTCCACAGAATCGATGACCATTTCGTACCGGTCACGGTGAAGGAATATCGCTCAGCGGACTTTACGAGAAGTGGCACCAGATGCAATCTCTCCTGAGGTTTATATCCGTAACCTAACAACGAAAAATAATGTCAGCGCCATGAGTGAAGAATTACAGAGAGTCAAACCGACAGGAGCCCGCAAACTCACTTTGCCAAGGACGAATAGACTGGGAAATGATACCGGCGGCCGTGATATTGCTACGAGAACTCGCTTCGTCAGACAACATGTAAGACAGGGAGGATATTTCGTATTTCATGGATTGCAATGGGGACTGGATAGACCCCTGGCTTGAATGGCGCTGCTCAATGAGGGATGAGAAAGCGGCAACAGCTTGGTCAAGAACATCGTCTTCGTGGATTCTCTGAAGAGTGTTATGAAAGGCCACATATTCATGGTCCTCAATACTAGTACTCGATCTATACGATTTCATGTTCATCTCATCCGCTAATCCGCTGGGAGAGATTGGAGAAGCCAGCGGGACTTCATCGACCGGCCAGACAGTGGGATTAACGTGAGCACCCATTATGTTTTTCAGGCATGACCCGAGATGGAGATAGAGCGCGCGTAAAAATCGTCGCGCGAAGGCTATCACGTTCCGACCGTAAACAGCGCAGAATACGGACAGAGTGGATTGGAATGGGGATGTATCAGCAAACCAACAACCATGAAGGACAGTCCAGGTCGTATAAGCCCCGACCGTAACGGCGAGAAGCGAGGAAACTATCCCAGCAGCAAACACAGGAATGAAGGACTCGGAAAGCGGGACAGTGGTTGAAATCAGGTTGTCTAGTAGCCCAACCACGAATAAGACCACAGGTATGATCAAAAGCTGGGGAAGTATTTCGATTGCGGGAGCAAGCAGTCGATTTGCCTGTTCCCAACGACGATGAAGGTCGCCTAGTCTCTTATGGGCAGGCGTGTGGCTTGAGCGACCGAGCATACCGATATAGCCTCTACTCGTGACTGCCAAAGCAGCTACCGAAATCTGGGAATGAGATATGTTCATATTAGGAGGGCCCGAATGCAAAGTAGCTTAGCGTCAAGACTTACGCTGAGAATGAGGGATATCGACCAGTACAAGTTCAGTCGCACAGCGCTTCCATCAGGCTGGAAAGGCGTGGGGGGCGCGATATCTAGATGCGCTGTGTCTGTCCCGCTTATCACGATGAGCAATTCGGTCAGATTTCGAAGCAAATCGTTCGTCTCAGATGCCGGATCCTGTGCAAGGCCGGCCAGTGACTCTACGAAAAAGGTTGCAATAATGGCGGAAAATAGTGCAATCTGAGTGGTGTTCAAGTCAAGGTCCTCGTTCTTCGTTGAAATGTGAATATGCCAGACGCACAAAAACTAGCATAGTGTCGAGAGTGCCTTTCCATCGATCGATTGTGGGTTGGATGTGGCTCAAGTGTGAGCGAAGTAATGGACCCCAGGCAGAAGAACTAGTTGCTGGGACCGATGGGATTGGCTTTTTGGTGATATCCGCTTCATGAGCAGCAACAAGTCATGGGATGCCACAGCTTCGAAAGATCATGAAGGCGTACCAGCAGAAACCTGCGTTTCACGCATCTCCCTTAGGACGGTCAGGATCTCCTGAGATATCTCACCTACCAATCGCTCGTCCCGTTCAGTAAACTACCAGCATGTTTGATGACTAATGAACGTACCATTGGAGTTTTTCTGGCTTTTTCTTTCTCCCAGGAGCCTCTCCGTGAGTTCGATCTGCTTCTGCATCAGCTTGATCATATCCTCGAATCCAGCCGCCTCCCTATAAGAGTTTCAGCACCAACATCGTGTCTTGATCAACATTGAACTCTCAATCGGCCGAATGAGACTCACATAGACTGATCAGGATGAGATGTTCTGATAACGATGTCTGGTGGTGGTCCATAAGTCGGATTGGCCCAAGTTCCCGTAGCCATTCAAGTTGACCCTTAAAATAAGGCCTGAAGGGACAGGTAGAAATCAGCACCAGAGGATGACCACTACCGCAACTTGAGACTAGTGATGGTAACCAGTAAACCGTTGGTCGATGGTAGCGTTTCGCTGTAGACGCCGTTGTCCATGTGGTTCGTGAGGAGATACGTGATAAGCCTGGGGAAAGATGTCTAGACGCGGTGAGTCACAATACCCTACTCAAATGTTGCCATAAAAGAAGGAGTGCGTTTCTGATGCCATTCAAGAACGATGGTGGACTCTTCACGGAGGAAGCAGATACAAGGCGTGAAACAAATCGGAGAACGTGAGGTTGACTGAGGTAGTGGCCGTATCTTCACATGACGCGCGCGGCTCTGTAGAGGATGTGCCACCCGGAATAAGCCGACCCCTGATATCTTTCGTGTGCACCAAACGTCAGTACTCAGTACTCAGTGCTTACCAGTCAGTCAAAAATCTCCTTTTGACAGAAGAAAGATCCCAGGGAACGACTTTCGACACATCCTTTGATCGTTGCAGACGCGGTTATGACATCATCTCCCGCAGGATCCGGGATCGTTAGGTCATTTACAGTGGTGCTTTTTCCACTAGCAAAAAGGACTGGGTCTGTCATTGTGAAAGCAGCTCGAATACGAGAGGATCATGTGTACAATAAATCTAGGAGACAGCTCTGAATCAGACATGCATAAAGGGCCTAGAAAATGCCAAAAGGTCGTGAAGTATCACCATCATCGAGAAGGTGTTCGTGAATTGTACAGAACCTTCAGGGTATGCTCAGTTTTCTCCTCTCTTGGGGCGACCTACTGCACCTTTGGCCTTTCCTTCCCCTTTCCCTTCGTCTTATGCTGTTTACGCACATATCGTCTCACGCCAGGCAGCCCAAACTATTACATCCAGCACCAGCGCCGCCATAAGCCAGCCGTCAGAGACTTGATAATCAAATCAGGCCAACAAAAGACGCACCCTGATCAACGGATATATAGTCAAGACCGCTCCGCCCAAAGCCCAGGCATACTTGACCTTGGTCGGGAATGGTTCTGGGAATTGTCCCTTGCTGAACTTGAGAATGACAAGGAGCTCCGTCGCTACGGTGGCCAGGAGGATCCATACATGTTGACCCATTCGGATGGCACGTCTAGAGCGAGTCAAATTGATACAGCGGCAGCAACGTGGGGGAGGGAGAACGAACCGTGGATCGTTGATATATTGATAGAGCTCTCTTGTAGCGGGGAGGGCGCAGAGGAATACGCCGGCTAGTCTGGCAATCACGAATGGATGTTCAGGTTCCATCCACAACAGCGTCTGTTAGACGAGGCAAAGGAGAGTCAGCTCCGTCCTTGATGCGAATCACAACTCGCTGATGGCGGTGGCTTGTTGAGGCCTACCTTCAAGTAGAATGGATTCAACTCTGCCGCCAAAAACACGGCGAGCAGCATGACAACAGTCACATAATGGACGAATGACTGCGTTCCGTGCCATTGAAAGGCTGTGAAGTCTTGTGGCGAGAACTGGGTCAGGACGCGTTTTGTCTTGGAGCGGATGCCTCGCGATTGGCGGAAGCCGCGCCAGGTATAGTGCTACACATTCCAAGTTAGAGGTCAATGTTAGTTGATGATGGAGGCCTGAAGCAAGAACGACCGCTGGAAGGCGGGCCCAGACGGCCGAGAAGAAAACCAGCTTGTTGGGGGTGGGCCACATACTTTTACTTCGAAGTATTCGCATGCTTTCATTCCTACAACGAAAAGGGTGGGCGCATTAGTCCTTTGTCTTTTGCGGCGAGAATATACGGGGAGAATACGGGCTAGGATCTGCACCACTTTGGTATCAGAGGTCCATCGGTCCCACAGAAGATGACGGCTAAGCTTTCGCAGAAAGGCAGAGCCAAAGTGGCACAACAGGAGCCATTCCGAACCAGACAACGCCGTTTAAGACAGAAGAAAAGGAAGGTGATGAAGATGAATCGCAAAGTCGAGTGTACGCACCGAGGTACGTCCCAAGCCAGTTGCACACGAGTACGTCAAGAATCCACTGTCACCGAAATTGTCCGTCAGTGAGATCGAGTGACGGGCAGCGCTTCCACGCTCATATCCCATATCGATGGGCGGCGACCGGATGGGACGGGCGCAATGGAAGCACTGGACATAGAAGCGAAGAATTAAACTACTGACATGGTCCCACCAGCACTACATGTAGCAAAATGTGCACGAAGAGTCAGCTCAGAGAAGGGTTGAGAGGAATATGAAAACAAAGAACGACATACTTCTTCGAAGTTGGCTAATTGGTGTTGGAGGGAGTATTCGGCGAACTCAAAGGCAATGCTCAGAATCTAGACCGTACCCTTTTATGTGAGTCAAATGCTGAAGTAGGTAACTATAGCGGGGAAGACTTTACCCAGCAGAACCAGTAATCCCTCAATATCATGGCCTTGCCGAACCACCCCAATGCATGCGCCAGACAAAATATGTCTACCGCATTCTATAAAACACGGCCAAACAAGAATAAAGTCGGTCACAAGTATTACGACTATTCTTCTAGCCAGAACCCACTCACCCAAACATTTATGAGCGTAAATTCGCAATTTTCGCCGTAGCTTTTCTCCGGGAGTGGCTTGCCCAGCGTTGGATCCAGATATGTCATCATCGTTCTCGCAGACTTGAGGTCTTGGAAGAGAAGAAAGACCAATGCAAGTTCGTAGAGAAGATTAAGGCCTAGTATGATTCGCCAGAAGGCGGGATGTGGGCGGACAAAGGGGCCATCACGGAATTGGACCATCGCAAAGGCAAGGAAGGATATTATAGCGGCGTAAACTCCTCTATAATGAAATTGTAACCGAAACTCAGTTTCAAAGGAATGGACGGCATTCAATGGTCACTGCAAGGCTGCGCGCCAAGGGTAACGGAGGGCACCGCGCCACAGTTGACGCCACCCGCCTTGCAGAGTCGCTCCGACCACGGTAGGATTGGGAGGAAAAGTATTAAGGACCCACGTACACACGTCTCTTATCACCGCCCTCCTCCAGCACATCTTGCGTCATAGCGACATACGCCAACACCGCAAGACAGGCAGCAAGTGCCGTCAAAGTGATGGGCTTGTAGAAGAATCTAGTACGTATAATCAGTACAAGGATAAACTCGCACATGATGAATTGAGTGCCACGCACTCGACGCTGTTGTCCCGCTGCTCTTGAAACGGAATAGTACGGGTATAGGGCTCCTTTCGATCTGCCTTGGAATGGCGGGTGAGTTGAACAAAATATCTTGGGTTCCACTTGTAGAGCGACGTACATCATACCCTACGGAATTCTGACACTTAGTACACTGGTATTCTTAGATACAAGGAATACATACATCGAACAGGGTTTCCATGTAAGCCTGGTGCAGGTTCCGGTTCTTGGACAGGTGATAATGCCGCGTCCTCCGAGTCTTCCACTGGTGATGTTGGAGAGAGATCTGGTTCTTCCTCTTGAGAGAGAGACATTGTTTCCTCCCGTTCTCCGTCTCGATACGGCGACTAGAGGAATCAAGGCTAACAGGTCGAAAAGTCTGTACGAAGGAACAAGTTCAGTTGCTAGCGCCGGTTCGAGCGGAATGCAATGACGGTATTTGCTGCACGTTGCCTTCGCGTGTCGCGTGTGTGGCACCTTCGGCAAGTTCCGTTACACCTGACCGTGGCCTAAACCTCAAAATCGTATTCTTTCGTTACTGTGACTGAACAGGGCGGATCTGGTGAGGGGACCTCCACTTGTTATGCACAAGAGTGATAGGATGCTACTGGAGAATCTTTGGGGGGTAAATAGGTGGCTATAACAGGGCGAGGCAGACTTTCGATACGAATATAATTCCAGTTCATGTCGTCGCGGATGAAACGTTTGGTCGTATTGAAGTACACTAGACTCCCTTCTGCATTTTCTCTCTTATTCCCACTTTTGCGTGGCTCCCTTTGATGACTATTCAGTACCGTGGATGGTGCATCGAAAAACTATGACCCCGAGCATCTTCCTTACCTATCATGACGCCACATATAACTCGCGCGGTTTTAGAAAGCATCGAGTTACTCGTCCTGCATTACACTTCCAAGGCACATTATTATTTATATTCTGCTATTGGTGTGGCTACATATTTGGTCTCTGTGAGAGAAGGTTCAAGGATTAGAAGCAGGAGTGTTCGGATACTACTGGCCGTGAGCCCAACCTGTTCCCGCAGAAGGCGCGCCTATTGACTACTGTAGTTTTTCGACCATAAGTTCGTGGGAAGATTATGTCAGACGTGACACTTGCCAGACCACGGTTCGTTTGGCTGGGCCACGCGTGACGAACCAGTGAAATTGTTCGCAGTAGGGTGGCGGACCAAACCTCCCTGACGGTTAGGTACCAGGTAACTTACCATGCCAGGTCAGAGAGGGCGGTAACTTACCAGGTAAGGTACTCGGAAAGTCACCTCACGTGCAGCAAAATATGATTTTATGCACAAATTTTCTCGCGCACAGCGCGATGTCTCCTGCATGGTTGTGTGGCGCCACAGTACTAGTGGACTTTGCCTGGGAGTGCCTACCCTTTGTGTTGTGCTCATTTTTGTTGTAAGACGGAACTGTAAATGCTTGGAATTACTAAAACTACCCGCACAACATGGACAATACCTGCATGGCTAGCATTTGATAAATATTGTCATGATATTCTGACCAAGTGCCCGCAGAGCTCGGCAATGTCCGAAATATCTACCACCAATCCTCCTAAAAAGGTGAATTCGCTTCAAACTGCGGTAGAACACAATATACGTTGTGCTATCTTCCTGG